CAGTAGTGGTGAGTGAACAAATGTCTTAAATGCATAAGTAACGTTAACAAATTGGAAAACAGTTCGAATGGAGAAACTTTCAACGCAGTGGATCAAAAATTAGAAACCGAAAACATTTTACCAATAGTCCAAGAAAACTCGTAAGTCGAAACTTGACGTATACGTCGATCAGTGCGACCAATAGGCGCGAATTTATGATCATTGCACGATCGACAATCGCATTTTAACGCCAAGCTTCTTAACAATGTGGCAGAGCGTGGATCGTCACTAGCATCTGTGATAAACGGCCATTCCTTCGTCGAAGTCAGCAGATTTTCCTCGAATTCTTCATCAGCGTCTATCTCTGAACTTTTCTCGGAGCTCCAATAATTTCTAAGTATAATATTTAAACATTTTACTCAAATCGTAGGCAACATTTTTCTACATAAAAATAAGTGAATTTATAAATTATGAATATTCATCTTTTAAAAGTTTCGACTTACGAGTTTTCCTGGACTATTGGTAAAATGTTTTCGGTTTCTAATTTTTGATCCACTGTGTTGAAAGTTTCTCCATTTGAACTGTTTTCCAATTTGTTAAAGTTACTTATGCATTTAAGACATTTGTTCACTCACCACTACTGTTTCAGATTGTGACGTCAGAAACGAAAAACTCTACAATAAAAATTCTTGCAACATATATTTAAATAAAAATATTTTTCAATAAAACAATTATAATTGTAACGTAATAATATAAATTTATTAAAAAATTTCACAAAATAGTTTTTTGTTTCGGAAAGGAATTACGTCATATTTATTTCTATATATGATTAATTTGAGCTGTCACAGCTAGAAACATGCTTATTTTTCATTTGGTTGTGCATAATTCATTTCCAGCTATATGATTATTTATTAATGAAATGGAGAGAGTTTTCGATATATTTTATAGGTCAATCTTATCGAGTATATGTATATTAATATTTATTAAAACGTATATTTCCATTTTAATATATTATGCAAGAATTTTTATTATTTATTTTCTCATTTCTGACATCGTAATCTAAGACAGTAATAATAAGTAAGCAGAAGCCTTAATAATAAATTATTTAAAAAAACAAGAATTAATAATAGGACAACGAGTGTACAGCGCGGTATTTTGCGCAAGAATTTTTTTAGAATTCATTACAATATGATTAAATAAGTGTATTTTAAACTTACAGTTTGATTTTTCTACA